TATTCAAACAAACCAGTTGAAATTTCATATTATTTCACCAAGGTGTAGTATTACTGCTATTTTGGTCATAATAGTAATCTTTCTGCCATTTTTTAACCTTAACACATCTGTTTGTCGTTAGTCCAAAACGTACACTGAAAAAAAAACTCCGGCCGTGGGAGCCGCAATTACGGGCTATATAGACATACCGTCCGTTCCGGGCTCAAAGGCCAAAAATTCCGGCTGCTGGAGGCGTAGCTTCGATTGCTCCGGGCTCAGAGGCCGAAGCTACGGCTCCAGCAGCCGGAATTTTCGGCCATTGAGCCCGGAACGGGCGGTATGTCTATATAGCCCGTAATTGCGGCTCCCACGGCCGGAATTTTTTTTTTTTTCAGTGTAAACAAGCAAAGCATGAAACATTGTGAAGCGTTTCATAAGTGAAGAGCCAAGAGCCTCGAAAGTATGACCTCTGTTTGGAGCGCCTTCAAATCCCGGTGATACTCTCCGCATTGTCAGGCAGTTAGTTTAGTTGCCCACTGGAATCAAATCCATGTGTGATCACTAAAATTTCTGTATGCATTTGCGGGTATGGGTAGATATATTTTAAGTCACAGGCTCCATGAGAATTGGAGCTGAAATTTGATCTTTCACTGATATTCTATAACCCGGAATTGTCAGTTTTTTCCACAATTTACTAATTGAATTGCATTTAGCAAAAAGGAACCAGCTCGATTACAGTGTTTTCACAATCGTGCAACTTCTTCTTCCCTTTCAAAAATACTCAATATAAGTACAGTATTAAAACTTCCACGATAATTTTTCTTTAAAATCAACTTTTTTAGTGGGGAGAAAAAACTATTTGCTATTCTGAGAGATTAATTAGATAATTATGAGGAGACAGAATTTTCACAACACTGTAACTGCGCTGGTTCCTTTTTGCTACATGCAATTCAATTATAGAATTTTTTCCCCCGTTTTGATATAGGAAAGTTAAATACTTGTATGAGTGAAGGAGAAGACCTGCATGATACGGAGGTGAAAAGGTTTTAAAGACTGAAAAATCTACATGAATGTATTGAAAATTTAGTGTGATAAAACTTTCCGACTGTGGGTCTTATCAATAATCTGTCGTGACCAAATCAAGAGAAAGTAATTTTGGAGAAAATAGTTGATGAGAGCTCATCCCTGACGATTTTTTAAGGAACATCACGATAGTCCATCATAACTGATCGCAACTGTGCCTCGATACACGTAGGTTAATTTTTTCCTAGAAACTTAATGATTCCAGTCATTTGACGAATAAAATTGTTTTCGCGCGTTATGAGACGTCAGTTCTCCTGTGTAATTAAAACTGGTATCAAAAAAATCCGCAGCAAAAAAGAAACTCATCTAGTTAATGACGGTTTTAAATCATATACACTTTTTTATTTTTTGATCTTTCAATTTTTTCCCGCTCTGATGGATACTTTTCAGCTCGTGGATTGAAACACTATTTTATCCTTTCAGTCTCGTGAAAATGATCGGGCAAGTTCGACTGACTAGTATTCATTTTATACGTTCGTGATGTTACACACAAAAATCTATGGAGGTAAGGTATTATTGTTTCAACTGTAATATATTACTGTCGGGACTTGCTTTATTGTTATAATTGTTTATTATTGTTTGTTGACTTAGGGTCGTATTCATGGTCGCTCTTTATTCAACATCGCATTTTTTTATAAGACTACTAGGGGGCCCTGCCCCCTGACCGCTACGCGGCCCAACCCGCGGGAGGGCGCCTCGCACCTTCAGGCCCGCTTCGCGGGCCCTATACGTATACTAGGGGGCTACGCCCCCTGGCCGCTACGCGGCCCAACCCCCTGAAGGCGCTCCGCGCCATCAATGGGCCGCTTCGCGGCCCTATTCTTACCCTCCTATCAGTGTTAGTTTTATTTTTCCCCTAAAAAAATACGATATGAGGTATACTTTAATTTTAAACTTTACTTAAAATTACTTTAAAATTAAAAGGACGCGTTTTGGAATGACTGCTTGATGACATATTGCAGTAATACAATGAACAATGACAGTCAGGTAATAATCAAGATCTCATAAGTCGGGGATCGAACCCACACTGTGATCAAAGCGGACGCATTAGACGTCTTTAGACGACTCGGCCACCGCTCGACATGAAGTCGTAGGTGCGAATCTTGTGTAGATAAGTGTAGAGCTGATGCGCAGGCTACCCAGCTACTGCGCAACCTCCTCGACCATTGCGCATCCTCCCGCGCATAGCGGTAGCAGTACCTTAGCATTCTGTAAATTCACTCACTTTTATAACGTGATTTTAAAAAAACCTGGGTCCTATTTCCAAAATCTGATTGCAGCGGGCTCATCTAGGGCCTATTACCTGTCGATTTACGCAAAAATCATGGAAATCGGCCCGGTAGAACGCTCAAACGAACTATGACAAAAAGTATAAATTTACATTGTTTAAATGGGAGAATTCGCAACTTTACCACGTAATATAAAAAAACCTGGGCCATATTTTGAAAATCTGAAAAGAGTTGGCTTATCTAGAGGCAATTGCCCGTCGATAGCCGCAAAAATCATGAAAATCGGCCCGGTAGAACGCTGGAACTATAAGCGTCACCAGTTTCGCAAAATTAGGAGGTCTTGGAGCTTATAGCATAGATGTATAGGCAAAAATGTTCTTCCATTTTAATACACCATTTTGTGTTCGAGCTGCATCGATTTCAAAATTTTTGACGTAACACTCAGATTTGTAAATGATGAGGGATAACTGGATGTACATGTTTTCACAGTCCACTTACTGAAGAAATTTCCATTTATTATGTTATTTTTAAATACTTAATTTAAAAAAAAATCGGATTTTGACCGTTAAAAGTTAATAATATTTGGTCCGTCCGGACGCGACGCAGTGCCTGCCTTCTCACTTCGTATCTGATGTTTATCTGCTGTAAATATTAATAGACATTCAGCAATCAAGTAAATTGACCAATGCCACAAATCGAAGCCGGAAGAATGCAGGAAAAATTGAGTAAAAACCTTATACCTTGAACCTTGAACCCTGAGCGATGCACCGTTCCTCAACTCTTCGAATGAGGAGCCCTTCATGAGGTTTTCCATTGTTTTATTGTTTATTCGAGTCACACAGGTAGAATCCCACACCTTGACGTTTCTGGCGGAAACGACATATCTCTCACGCTATTAACATTGGACTCAAGGGACATGAGCTTTAAAAGCTCTACAACATTAAAAGTTCGGGGTTTCATAATTTTTTGCACATCTACATCTACTACAGATAACATACATGTAAAGATCATCCTTATCGGTCCGGCAGTTCGTCAGATATAGTGCTTCCAAGATTTTGCTTGTAGCTGTATAATATAGATAATATAGATGCATATAGATTACATTGTGATAAGAAAATTTTTGAGACGGTTTTAAATACAACGTTATTATATAAAGGCCTGTTTTATGAACTTCAAACAAAAAACAATGGTGTGTCTATCGGAATTGATTCTTGCAAGGAACTATGATGATTAGCTACTGCAAAGAATAAAAAAAAGCACACGGAAAATATACCAGGTTTTACAAATGTTAAGGTAGGTACGATCTCAAGTGAACATGTTTTTCTTTTGAGTTTTTTTATTACTTGTAGTGCGCAATACATGCAGTCCTTAAAGTGGGTCCATTCTGTAACTTTCATTCATGAATCACTCGAGATGTATAAAAATGTATGATGCAATGTTGAAGCTCTCCCTAAATCAACTTTAATCATGTTGTAAACCCTTCTGCGGCCACCCATAGATCGAAGAAAGTATATATTTCAGGGCAGACCACGACTATTGCTTACATTTCCTGCGTTATTGCTCCCTTACATTTGATTGAAAGTTTTGGAACTCCTCAGCTTTGTTTTCCCCACGGAATGGTGTGGACGTAGCACCATTTCTCCACCTTGTTACGTACTCCCATGCTATGGATAAACGCCGTATGAGCATTCGAGAGTTTTAAATTTCCAAATTTCCTCTCAGAAAATAGTTATTCTTGAAGGAAGTTATGAATCTTTTCTCTTGAAATTTTCAGGAATTTTAGGTGAAATTGTGAAAGAAACATATCTGAAAAATCGAGGGGAAAATATTCACAAATGGGCCTGTTGCAAACTTTTGCTAGAGCAAAAATAAGAGTTGTTTCTTATAGATAATGCCTCAAAAATTACGATGAGCGCATCGGCAAAGTCTGAAATGCACCCATAACTTCACAGTCTGCGTAAGAAATTTGCGGTTTCTTGAGCTTCCCGCTTCAAAAACGATACTACGGCACAGGTGAACATTTTGTAAGAGGAGTCGTTCCGTCGTCGGCAATACTCATCATGGCCGACGCCAATCCGCCAAAACACGTGTGATGGGACAAGATAACACCTGAACTGAATTAGACCAGATAGCAATCGGCGTGTTAACGTTCATATTTTCCATGCCCGAATTGATTGACCTTCAACTCTCCTCGAATTACGCGCGGAACTGCGCGCAAGCGTCGGCCATGATGAATGTCGCCGACGATGGAGCGACTCCTCTAACAGAATGTGCACCTGTGCCGTAGTATCGTTTTTGAAGCGGGAAGCTTAAAAAAACGCAAATTTCTTACGCAGACTGTGAAGTTCTGAGTGCATTTCAGACTTTGCCGATGCGCTCATCGTGATTTTTGAGGCATTATCTATAAGAAACAACTCTTATTTTTGCTCTAGCTAAAGTTTGCAACAGGCCCATTCTCCCGAAAATTCATGATTTACCAAAGGGAATTTGGCAACGCATGAGGGTTCATGCGGCGTTCTTCCTTAGCACGGCAGGATACAAGTGTTTTCTTTTTTTCCTCCTTATTAATGGAATAAAATAGTCACTTAATAATGGTTATTTTTTCTGTTTGTTAGAGAAGTGTTAACTTCATTGACTTTGGTTTAACTTTACTTATAATAGCTTCCTGCTCTGTTTGCCTCTCGCTTTAATTTCAGTGGCATTGATAATCAGTCAAATTTTGCTGCTACTAGACGGGATATGCTGGTGTCCTCCCAGAACAGTGAGAGTGCCACGCGGATTTACAAGGGTCGCGAACAAAAGGTTGAGGGTCACGCAGGTTCATGAATTTAAAGTAATCGGGATCTTGGAACACGATGTAGGAGACGTTTTCATGATGGAGGGAATCGGCAGAGTATTCTTTATAGAGAAGAACGTAGCTGCATACGTCCGCAAGCGTGGGAAATCCGATAAATTCACTACCGTTGACAAAATTAACGTATGTTCCTGTTTATGTCTTTCTTTTTTAAAAAAAAAAGTTGTTCAGCCGCATGTTGCATCTGTATATAATTATGTTGCCAATTGTTGGAGGATAAGTTACTTGCCCGGATGTGGCTACCGCTACTCATGATAGTTAGTTATTTTATTTATGGACATTCAGCATCCTAGGCTATTAACGTCTTTACAAAGAATTAAGTGATAAAAACGTGAGCCAAAGATGCATCATTTTTTTACAATTTTATTTTTCAGCTGTTGATGCATTTTAGGAACTCAGTCCCATCTTCAGAGCATTACCTAAAGATACATTGTTAAGTTACATATGGACGTATTTCTATCAAACGGAACTATGTGCATTATGACGTGAGCCCTGTTATACTCATATTCTTATGGGTCGCGGGGCTCATGTCTTAATGCACGTAGTTCCGTTTGATAGAAATACGTCCATATTAGAAAAATATAATACACTAACAAAGCAAGAGACAAACTGGAGGTACATCAAAACAGGATATTAATAAAAATTGAAGCATAATTGGACACATTTCTATCAAACGGAACTATGTGCATTATGACGTGGACGTATTTATACAAAAGGGAACTAAGCGCCAAATTTGCAAATTTCAGTTTTTAACGGATCTGGATTCTCCATGTAATAAGCTGCTCTCACACGTAAATATGCCCCCAAAATACTAATTTCATCCCCTGAGATCAGCCCCTGAAAAATCGCAAAACAGGGAATCAGCGATTACGAATAAAATCAAAAAGAACTATGTGTAATTCCCTCTGATTTAATGCGCTAACCCGGATTCCGAATTAAATCAAAAGGAGCTATCTCCACTCGATTGACGCGCGCGCGACGGAGCTTGGTGGCAACTTGGTGAAACTTGGTACCGTTGGGTATTTTTGGACGAGAAACTCGAATTTCCGGTCAAATTTTGAAAATTCAGAAATCCAAGATGGCAGACATGGCCTAAAATGCTATCTCGACCCCTGTCTAGCCGATCTTGGTGAAACTTGGTATCAGGTGGTATTTTTGGACGGGAAACTCGAATTTCGGGTCAAATTTTAAAAATTCATAAATTCAAGATGGCGGATGTGGCCTAAAATGTTATCTCCTGTTTAAACGCGCATCGCCGAAAAATCCCAGATGTCGTCTGGTAGATCCCCTGAGTGACGGTCACGTATCGACCGTGCGTTCCCTCTGGCTTGATCGATGTCAGTGTGCACTGACATGGATAATGGGCTTTTAACGAGCGAACAAATTAACACACCCATTGGAATCACTTAATTTTCAATAAAATCACTGTTAGGTACTTTATTGGAATCGGAACAGTATTTAGAAATTCATGAGTATTAAGAGCGCGCTGGAAGGATTACGTGGTCAAAAGCGTGACCGTCACCTAGGGGTTCGTCAGGCCCTATCTTGACTTCCTCGGAGACGCGAGTTTAAATGGGAGCTCAGAATACGCAACTTCGAACTTTTTTCCGTGGGTTTATAATGTTTCAAAAAATCGGAGAAAATTCCAGCGAACTGCGCGTACTCAATCCTCCAAAAAAATGCAAAAATTAAAAATTACTGAATAACCTCATTGTTAAAATTTTCAAATCCAATATGGCGGATGTGGCCTTCAACAATGGCTCAATGCCTGAATCGTTTGTGTGAAGTTCAGTATTAGGGGCTGAAAATGACAACAGAAACTGTTTTTATTAAGATACGAAAATTTTAACATAGGTAATCAGCACATGAAGGGAATTCACGATCCGACGCTGCTAGGTAAACCACGCACCTCGACGAGGCGGTGTATTGTGAACGTAGAGTGCCATATATTTAAAGTTTACAAACGTGGAAATTTTCACATCTAATCCACATTGGCAAGATGCAGCGGGAATGCAGATTGAGGTTAGGTAGGTATATTTGGGCTCCCACCCCCTCCGGCCTTCACAACCCGGCCCGTGCGCGTTACGTAGGTTCATTGGCGGCCATTCTAGACGTGCAGTGCGTTTGTTTAAAAAGGAGATAGCATTTTAAGCCACATCCGCCATCTTGGATTTCTGAATTTTCAAAATTTGACCCGAAATTCGAGTTTCCCGTCCAAAAATACCCCCTGATACCAAGTTTCACCAAGATCGGCCAAACAGGGGCCGAGATAGCATTTTATGCCATGTCCGCCATCTTGGATTTCTGAATTTTCAAAATTTGACCCGAAATTCGAGTTTCCTGTCCCAAAATACCTCCCGGTACCAAGTTTCACCAAGTCGCCACCAAGCTCCGCCGCGCGCGCGTCAATCGAGTGGAGATAGATCCTTTTGATTTAATTCGGAATCCGGGTTAGCGCATTAAATCAAATGGACCTACGTGCAAAATTCCCTATATCTCGCTTAATATGCCTTTTTTCGTAATTTTGGCAACGTGTGTAATTAGAGGAACTCTTCAGCTTTCAAACAAGCTAAAGTAAACCAAAATCGGTCCATTAATACGGAAACGCCAATGGTTTTAGTCAAACTTGCTTTACTGAAAAGTTTGGAAATGGCGTTTAGCGCCTTTTCGCATAAATACGTCCACGTGAGCCCTGTTATGCATATATTTATGTGGGTCCCAGGGATCGTGTATTCGTGCACATAGTCCGTTTGACAGAAATACGTCCAATTGAATCAGTGAGAACGAAAATACACCAACTCGGTAACTCGAAAATACTCAATTTCCATTAAAAATAGTTAATTTACATAACCCTCTATTGCATAAGAACACATATATGTAGTTTAACGTATTTTCTTTTTTTAAACATTCTGCACGACCGCAACAATGTTTCTGAATGCATCTATGCAAGCTGAAGGATGAATTCTATCGGATAAAAATGATGAAACCCACTCCAAGATTGCTAAATTAGGTTGAAAAACGTGCAACGTTTTTTTCGGCAACCGCGGGCTGCGTAAATCGGCTCTGGCAACGAATTTTCGGAGCAGGATTTGAGTTGGTAAGAGTGATCGTACGACAATGAAAAAAATATGTGCATATGCAGCACACGTCATATTTTTTTAGGTGACAACAGGAAATATTATATGCAAAATTGGTTTTTAATAAATTGATTTAAAACCGAATAACATATATGTGATCTCATACAACTGACTCTGGCGGCGAAAATGACAAGTTACATATCGAGGGTGTAAGTCGGCAATCACATAACTCGTTTGCGGTGTCTGAACATCTCCGCCTCTATAATATTTTTTTTTAAAGGAGAACAAATTTACATCATTTCTTGCAGTTTTTGCAGAATTTTCCTCTTATAGAGAAGAAAAATCATGACAGTTTTAAAGGATTGTCGTTAGAGTAGTTTTCCGTTTAAAAAATAAAGTATGATAGGAAGTCTGCAACGTCGCAAGCCGAGTTATGTGATTGCCGACTTACACCGTCGATATATGCCATTCCATGCAACCGCTTATACAAAAGCTTATATAACTTCGTTTTTAAAAAAATATTGAGATTATAAAGGTGGTCCATTGGTTTCCTCGTAAAATATTCTCCTAGAAATACCCCTCCAAAAAGTGTATTACGATATAAACATCAAAATTTGCAGTTTTCTTCAAACATTTTCTGTCCGACCATTCCGATTAACTCGAACCTCTATGCACGGGTTGATAAAATCCCTTCTCGTGACATGCGTTTTAGCGGGTTGGCATCAGCCATGTTGAATATTGTGTGGCGGTTAGAGGAAAAGGGTTGGATAGAACGACTCTTCTTACGAAATCTTCAAGCAAGTCGTAGTATCGTTTTTGAGGCGGAAATTTTAAAAACACGCATATTTCGCACGCAGATCTCTGAAGTTGGGAGTGTATTTCAGACTTACCCGATGCGCTCATTATGGTTTTTCAGCCATTATCTGCGAGAAAAAATTCTTCTTCTTGCTCCACACCTGAAGTTTGCAAGAAGCCAATTGAAAAACAACGCAACCATGACGAAAATTGTTTGAAGTTTTGACCCTGCATTGATTCATACCATAAAATATGAGAAATTATCTCCCACTAAGACTTTTCAGACCGTAAAATGTCCTGCCCATTACGCGTAACCAACACACACTGGATCGAGTCAATAGGAGAGGTCTGACAAAATGTATAAACTTTCAACGCTCATAACTCCGTTTTCTACAAAATTTTGAGGTACTAAAAGTCTACGCCGCTGACGTCACTGGCGCTCTATACAGGGTGTCCGGAAGTTAACGTACTTTACTTTCAGGATCGATTTTTCGGCTCAAAATTTGATTATTATTTCTGATACACTTATGCCCGAAAACGCTTCACAAGTGAGCTATGCGCTTCCGAAGTCTCCCATTTTAACTTTCAAATTTATGTCACTCCTCGTTATCTTGTCGTGAGTACAAAAAAGTGTATCGCAATTTTAACGTTCGGGAACTCTCGTAACGTCATTTGCCGACTACGCTCATCCTTGAAAACACAAAAAATGATCAGCACGCAAGCAAATACCCTCATTTACCAAGTTTCAGCTACCCACGACAAAATAACGAGGAGTTACATCAATTTGGAAGAGAGAAACTGACAACTTTGGAAGCGCATTCACTTATGAAGCGTTTACGGGCATATGTGTATCATATAATGATATTCGAGCCAAAAAATCGATCTTGAAAGTTAAGCAGTACGTTAACTTTCCTCACACCCTCTATAATTCCTATTCATTCCGATGATCTTCCATTAACGAGCACATATATTCCTTCTTTCACACCCGTTCCTTATCCTCCCGGTTCCTTTTAGCATAAATACGTCCATTTCATGGTCTTAAAGTCATGATGATACACTTCTTACAACGTTTTACATTTTTTTTGCAATGTTTTTCTTCCTCCTTTTTTGGGCAAAGGGAGGGGGATGAGTGCACGCCACTCAGTGGATTGGGTCGATTGCAGCGGTCGGACATGAAATTTTTGACTAAAACTACAAATTTTGATGTTTAATTTGTCACATTTTAAGAGGGGTGCCTCTGGAAGTAAATTTCACGAAAAAACCAATTTTTAAAATTTCAGACTTTTGATTTGACGGAGATATAAGCTTTGAAAGCTTCTAAATTTTGTCCGACCACTCCCACCGACTCGATCTACTGTGCCACCGTGAAACGCAATCCTGAAATTAAAGAGTAAATTAAAAGAGTAATTAAATCAATTAAATAAATCTAAAATTTCCTCTTCTTCCTCCTCACATAGGTATCTGCACGTCCTTCATACCATTGGTGGAGAGCACAAGTCATAAAATTTGAGTATACGCTTCCCCCGGACCACACTGCGGCGATCCTAAGAAGACTCTTGGGCAGGAAACTCCCTTACGCGTATTCCAGTTGTAACGAGGAGCACTACATGGACTACTTCCTCAGCGGGGAGCCTAGGCAGGGACGCATATTGGCCTATCCTCTGTGCCTGCAGCGACGCTCATTGTCGTCTGTCCTGTATGAAGAAATCGTGAGTTCAGACTTTTACCTCCAAGACATGCGCAACAAAAAGGTGAAGGTCATAGATATCGATTTCGAAACTGATTCCAAGGAATCCGTAAATGTTGATTCCTCCGAATGATCCTCTGTTTTGAGAAGGAGGAGAAAAAACTTTTGAACTATTTCTGGACATTTTTAACTTAAAAACTGACCAGTTCCAATTTTCTTTTTTTAGATTTTAGCGGCTCTGGTGCTTGCACTAGAGCTGCTATTCCGGACGGTCCCAGCTGGGGAGTATCAATGGACCATGTTACATTGGAGAGATCGCGCGTTGGTTGATGGGAATCGGCGCCATTTTCGACTATTTACCTTGTCATGACTTTATTTTATTGCATATTGTTTTATTGTTCGCCAATGCTATGTTGTGTAGTGTATTTTTGGAATCATGGTGATACAGTCAATAATTCAAAACTTGTCTGTGCTTTAATCTCGTAATGGAAAAAATGTACTTTACGTTCAAAATTTGAAATTTTGAATTTTAAAGTTTTCGCGGTTTTTTTGGAAGAATGCAGTGGTTGGAGCTTCCTAGGCATATTACTCGATATCAGCTGATAGCAAACAAAGGTTACCAAGGAAACCGTAAACGTTTAACAACTATCGTGGCCATCGGGGCGATTATTGAAATGACATCGACTCTATGTCGCCGCTTACGACAGGACATAGCCCTATCTTATCCGTGTAATATATCGCAATTCGATATTGTTTTGATTTTTAAATGGAGCAATTTATTCATAAAGTTCCGATTAGTTTTGGCGAACGGGCCCCTTAACCTACGTCACTAGATCAGTCTCAGTCTAGGTCAGTTTCAGTCTTATTGTTGCACAAACTAGTTATTTGACAAAAAAAGAAGATGATCACTCAATTGAAAGAAAATGGCGCCCAATCACAACGACAAGTTAAAAAAAAAAAAAAATGTGAAAGAGATATTTTAGGATGCGGACCTCCAAAGAGCCTTCAAAATTAAAAGTATACAACAAGTGATAGTGCCATACATTCTGCATATCAAGGGCCAATACACATTTATACACCGGCTTTGTAAATCTGCTAAGTTACAAAACATGAATCGACAGTTGTCGGATTGTACATCAATGACGAAATGTGTCTAAGCCCTCATTCTTGACTACAACTACCGTCACCAGAGCCGCTTTCCGACGCGAATGCGTTGGAGCTTACTGCTTGTTTAATATCTCTTTGTCAAAATTTAATTTTTTTTAGATTTTATTTCTTAATTTTCGAAAAAAGTCCCAAGGAATCTGGAGAAAGAAGAGCTTGCAGGCTGATTGTTGAAACGGGGCCAACCACAAATTACGTAAGGCACTTAGGAAGGGAAGGGTCAAGAGGTGCCTTACGAAAGCCAAACGCTTATTATTAAGAAGGAGGGGAAACAACTTTTGAACTATTTCTGGACTTTTTTAACTTAAAAACTGACCAGTTCCAATTTTCTTTTTTTAGACTTTTGATATCTCTTTATCAAAATTTAATTTGTTTAGATTATATTTCTTCCAAATTTCGTTAATTTAAAGACTTTTTAGACGTTTAACGTTTTTTTGTTAAAATGTAATTTTTCCTGAACTTTTTGAATTTAAAAACTGATTATTTTTTCAATACAACTGTTATTATTTATGATCTCCTACCAGCGATTAGTAATGTTAAAAGCAATACCGATTTGTTTCAACACCATTTTTTCATTAAATTATGTATTTAAACGAAAGAAGGGGGGTTTCTGGCCAGCCTTACGTAATTATTTAGGAGGGGGCCAGGCTAGCCTTACGAGTGCCTTAAGGGGGGGATTAAAACCAGGCTGGCCTTACGAGTCTAGGATTACTGGGGGGAGAGGGGTCTAGAAATCGGAAAGAGTGCCTTACGTAATTTAAGGACGGCCCCAATTGATAGATAAAGACAACGGAACAATGGCGCAATCCTATTGGTGAACATATGTAAGAAATATACAGCCAACTTACTCGACTTTTCATTGATCAAAGGAATATGGAAATCCTCTATCTAGCCTCGTTTTAGAAACACCGTATGTACCATTTGTTTAGATATGGATATATGCTTTTGTGCATAAGCCAGAACTTGTAGATCCTTGTCGGAATACGTAGCAAAAATCATATTAAGCATATTAGAAATGTCTAAAATCCACTCTTAAATATACAGTTTGCGTCTTGCAGATCACGCAAATATAGATTTACAACCTTCGACCGTGGGTATTTTTTTCTCAACCGCCAGTAATCTTACTCCAGAGAAAAATATAAGAAAATCTAACTCAAATTAACAAAACAAAAACACCGTTCTACATCCTCCTCTTGGGTGATTTCGTTTTTCCAGGATTTAGATAATTAAATTGACGGTTCGCCTGCATAACCTCGAGATGCAAAAAGTGGTACACTCCCATGTTTGTTGCAGTTCACGGGTGGTCGGGAGCATCTTAAGAGTGTAAACTGCACGAGGACATGATCCTCTTTCCTTTCATTCTCCCTCCCCTTGTTTTTCTAGACACTGCAGCCGATATCCTTCATAATGAATCACAATCCGATAATATGCAGTGATAACATGTTTCTTCTCAGGTGTCTCGGTGCCAGTGGCGAGTTGTGACTTGTGAATGAATGATCGACTATCGATAGTTCCCCATTTGAAGCTACGGTATAAAGAATCGATTATTAAGATGTTCGTTGCGACACCCTGTCTATCGATCCTTTTCTTTAGGTTTAAATGGAAGATCGGTCGATATATCGCAAAGCACGCCACGCCACTGCTCCGCGCTATCACTGCAGTTTTGGACTCCGTACATTGACCTTTTTTAAGAGACATGACCAAATTTTCATCTTATCTATGGGCTCTCATCACATGAAAGGAATCCTGAAACTATGGTGAAACGAATGATCAATATTCGATGTTATGGACAGTAAATTCTGACAACCAACCAACAACCAGACCCCTTATTTTCCAAACATATCGATTTTCTGTAGCTGAACCCATCCCTCATTTCCCACACTGAGAATTTCCTTTGGTTAAAGCAATCATAAGAGTGTTATTTCTACCATTAAAAGCGAACTTACTAACATAGCGATGAAATCACCAACATGGTGATAAAAATTCCGTTATTAATAACCATGTGACTACTATTAATTGAGAGTATACATATGGAACATCCACCCTCGTAAAAATTGGCAGTAGAATCTGTGTTCCAAAATACCATAGACCTACCCGGCTGTAAGATTTCCAATAGCTTCTATAGCCGGCTGCACAATTTCTTATAGCCTTTTATAGCCGATGGCGACTAAGCAACAGTCAGGCGATAAAGTGTATGCTAAACGTCACTAATTACGGATGCTAGGACTTAGTGAGTTTTTGGACCACTGCTCTCTTTTTGGGCCGTAGTATCTTGATTTATTTTGCGAGGAAAGCTCCGTACTTTTGATGGATGCCTGCCATTCCTAATATGTTGGAGTGCCTTCAGTTTCGTATGATCCTGTGCAATACATCTGGTGTGAAATAGTTGCTTCAAGCGCCGTGGCACGCTGCGGCGCGACAGGCGGGCAGCCAGCGCGAAACGCGCATTGGCGCCTACAAACCTAAGGGGATACTTCACGCGTTGCGCAACGCATGAAGTATCCCAGTTAGGTTTGTAGGCGCCAGTGCGTCGCCGCTCCGCTTTGCGTTAGGCTCTAATATTTAATCTGGCGGAGTCAGCGTTATTCAACTCATGATTTTGAAATGTTTGCACATCCTGTATGGATAATTATCGTTTTAATTGATGAAAAAAAAATCGTATTAAAGGAAAATCTAACGTGTGTTTTGTAAATATTAAGGTGGTTCCGTATCAAACTTAATGATTTCCAAAGCTTACAAATTTCTACATAATTTCTTATAGTCTTTTATAATCGATGGCGAAAAAGCAACAGCCAGGCGATAAAGTGTAAAGCCCGGCTATAGGAACTGTAGCCCAGCTGCATAATTTTTTATCGCTTCGTATAGCCCGGCCTTATGATTTTCTCTGCATTCTACAGCCAGCTACATTATTTTCTGTAGCCTTCTTTAGCCGGCTATAAGAATCCCTATGGTATTTTGAAACGCAGCTCTTATCGCCAATTTTTACCAGGGCACTGTTTCCTAAAGTTTTTTCTTAGTGTGCTGATTACCGTGAACAGAAGGTTGACTCTATAAATATATCCAACAGCCTGATTCCTTTCAGATGAGCTTAAATGTTATTACACTAAACCATGTGAAATTTCAGCTCCAGCCAAGACTATATCAATTGACTCTATGGAGGTCTAAGTGGGGCTTTTCATTTTGCGCTATCTTGACTTGCACTAAGATGATCGTAAAAACGTCACTCCGCTATCGATCGATTGCTTGGTTTGGGGAAGGTTGAGGCTAAGCTTCCAGGGCGCGGGCTCTTGTTTTATTAGGCCACAACACTTCATTTCATAAACGAGATTTTATTACGTCTGTGAATGCGGTTTGGGGGTGACCGCCCGTTTCCAGCGATGTCAATTTAAGAGAATTTATTAAAAGAGTGAACATTAAGGTGATTCGGTGGACGTCATATTTTGTGTCAGAACGGCATATGCGATGTATCGCATCAATTGATTCCATTTTTTCAGCTACTCGTCATTTTTCTCCAATTTTGAGATCGCAATTCTGTTGTAAGGAGACCAAAGCACTCACTTACCAATTTTAACAAAGAAATTCAACGTAATAAAGGCGTGGTTTTTTTAGAGAGAAAACATCGCATTCGATACTGATATCGAAGACGCACTCGAATGGGATATTTTCTCTCTAAAAAAAACCACGCCTTTATTACGTTGAATTTCTTTGTTAAAATTGGTAAGTGCTTTAGTCTCCTGACAACAGAATTGTGATCTCAAATTTGGAGAAAAATGACGAGTAGCTGAAAAAATGTAACCAATTGATGCGATATAACGTATGCCATTCTGACACGAAATATGGCGTTCATCGACGCAATATATTTCGTCGAAAGGACATGCGATATTTTGTATCAATCGGTTCCATTTTTTCAGCTACTCGTCATTTTTCTCGAATTTTGAGATCGCAATTTCGTTGTCAGGAAACTAAAGAATTCATTTGCCAATTTCGACGAACACATTGCAACGTAATATAGGTGTGGTTTTTTTAGAGAGAAGCTATCGCATTCGAGTGCACTTTTAACATCAGTATCGAACGCGCTATTTTTCCTCTAAAAAAACACGCATTTATT